TGTCTTTTAAGCTCACATAGAAGACATCAAACATCTCATCTTCTCTCATTCTAATATCCTCAAACCTAGTTGTCAACATTTGTAACTTAGAGTTCTTAACAACCTGAGTTCCCTCATATGTGGTCTGTAGAATATTACAAACCTCTTTGGCTATCTCACACATGGACACTCGCCTAAATTCTTCAGGGGACATTGCCATAAATATGGCATGTAAGGCTTTGCTATTCCAATTACAATCATCTAAGTTAGTCCTAGTCCAATTCGCAATGGGAGTAGGAGTCACTACGTTGTCTACAGTTGTACTAGGGGCACTCCAACCATTCACCACACTCAACCAAATCCATTCATCCATAGATTTTAAGAACCCTCACATCCTAACTTTCCAATAGGCATAGTTATTGCCATCAAAGTATGGCGGGACGTACAATGAACTACTCATATAGACAAATTAAGGTCAGGAATCGAAATAAAGCTCTGATACTAATTGAAAATACGTAATTCACTAACTATGTTCGACCTTATGTGCGGAATTATCTACAATATATGAAAAGTGGGGATTGGAGAGAAACTTTTGAATACCACTTTTACCCTTACATATTTACATATATGTCAAATATACCCTCATGATATACAAAAAGAAAAAAAATGAAAGGTTGCATTATTTAATATGTTATATTTATTATTTACCCTTATTTAAAAGTTATTTTAATTGGCAGTTACATATGAATATATCTAAGTTTAGAAAAAAAAATGGAATACCAAATGATTCAATTTATTATCTATAAATAAGATAATTAATAATTATTATTGCTTTCAAGAATTAAGTTAGTTAATTTCCGCTAAACACAATTATTACTAAGTATTAGAATACCAAATGTTAAATAAGGAATACCAAATGATTCAATCTATTTCCTCTAAATAAGATAATTAATAATGTTCATTTAATTTTTAAAATTAATAATTTTTTTTAAAATTGTGTACTAATAATTGTATTTAGTGTACTAATAATTAAAATTAGTTCATTTAATTTTCACTAAATACAATTATTAATAATTATTAGTACACAATTTTAAAAAAAACATTATTACATACTACTAAAAGAAATTATAATAATACTACATATTTAATTAACTAGAACTATCATATTTTATTACATCGATTAATATTAAAATATAAAATATATTTAAAAATATTACATATAGAGTTAAATTTTTTCAAACATAATATTACATATTAAAAATAATGTTGCATTCCTAAACAATTCTATTGAAAATAATGAATTCAATTCATAATTGAAAGGGATTGAAAAATGACTATTTTTACAATTATTAATTTAAATAAATAGGAGGGGAGACGCGTGGCTACTTTGTGTTAGTACATACATTCAACAAGTTTCCACACCTGCAAAACTTGATAGTATATTGTTTAATCTTTTATATGCAGCCACATCATGTGATTGGTACTCATAAGTCCAACTACATGGATGAAGACGACTTCATTTACATGAAAGTAGGAAGCCCTGATCCAAAAACTAACCAACCAAGGTTCGATGTGATATATATTCTTGATGACAACCGTGAAATTGAAGAAACATCTCCAATAGTGTCTCCATATGACGCGAAGAATAAATTTTCATTCAATTGCACACATTCCTCTAAAACCAGTCAACAATTCCCATCTGGTGCACGAAGAATCTGGTATTTGAAACAAAAATTGTTGAGCAACCAAAAAAACAGAAGATGATATCATCCGACCTTCCTAAAAATGAGAGGACTGCAGTTCATGAACCTGACAACATCATTACTACAACAAAGTAACTATCCCATGCCTTCAACAGTTCAAGTAGCAACTAGGATGTTTAAAAGCAACAAACCACTTTTAACAGTTTCTAGATGATTAAACATACAATTCAATT